CCCGTCCCCCAACCGTCATGGTCCGGGTGTTTTTTAAGTCCGGAGTGGTACGAGAGCAAGTGGGCGACTGTCACGTCCTTGCGCGCGCCGCGGCCCTCCCAGCCCTCCACCGCCTTCTTCACGGCCTCGCACGTCTCCTTGTGCCACTTGTCGTCTATGAGCCGCTGAAACGGGTCGTAGTAGCCGGCGGGCGCCGCCGACGTCGCCCAGCCCGCCTGCTCATCCGCAGCCTGCGCCGCGAGAGGCGCCAAACCCGCCGCCCATTCGGCGGTGTCCTCGGCGCTGGGCTCGAGAAGGACGATGAAGAGGGCGATAATCAGGACCTCCGTGTCCGTGGCGTCGGCGTGGTGCCGAACGAAGAACGTGTCGCCCTTGGAGGTGATGGGGGACAGGAGTTTCTCTCCTGCGCAGGCGCGCGAGCGAACGTCAGCGCGCCGAGGTCCACTGCGTGTCACTGCACCCGTTGTGGCCGCGCGCACCGGGTCGGCCAGAAAGAGCATCGCCAACAGTCGCCTTGAGGGCCAGGGCGGCCCCGGGGAAGCCACCGTGCACCCGCCCGACCTGTGCAAGGTGCTTGGCAGCACTTGTTGGCTTGGGGCGTGTCTCACAGCCCTGGCCGTGAAGCGCCCCCGCCCCGGCCTCCGGCGACCCGACGGCCGCCTCCGCGGCGGCGGCGCCCTGCGCGTCCAGCTGCAGCTCGATCGCCAGGGCCAAGCAGTCCGGGCCCTGAGGCCCCCGAGCAGTGCAAACATCCATCGCTTCCATGCCTCGAGGAGCGATCTACCGGTTCCTCACCCGTCATCGTGACGCAGGTGACGCGCGAATAGGGTGCCACCGGACCGGCCGACGAGCACCCAGCGGAGCCGTCATCGTGCATGGCGAGCCGAGCACCGCCGCGTCGCTTCTCGGCGCATTGGAGAGCAGAGGAAGCTGCTGGCGTCGCGGCTGGGATCGGCAGCGGCGCCAGCAGCTTTCTCGGATCTGAAGCGACTTTGAGCGCCGATCGATCGATCTGAGGGCTGACCGATGGGCGGCGCTGGGAGGAAGACCGCGCCACCCGTCGGCCAGCCCTCAGCTCCGCGACGGCGACTCGATAGTCGTGGCCGGCGCTCGGCTGCCACTCTAAGCTGTGCCGCCAGGCGCTCCTGGAACCGTGACGTCACTTCTTATGGATGCGGCACTAGGGACGCCCAATGTTTTCGTAAATATAGAAGCCACTCTCTCGCGTGTGGAAGCCACGACTGCGTAGTCGTGCTCCCCCGGAGCACGCCATAGAGCGCCGGTTTTGTGTACCGGGCGCACCCGCAGCCGTACACACCACTGCTGCCACTGCCAGGGGGTCGCCGCAGGCGCCCCAAGCGGCGCGGAGCGCCGCCGCAGGCGGCGGACAGCAGGTGCGCAAAATTAAACGCCATTTTCGGTTCCGCAGTTTTGCCACTAACGTCGAAATCCTGTACAAATCGAGACTTACGAGAGCCGAGCCTCCCACGAAAACCACAGAGGGGCGCGCGGACAGCGCGCCGCCAGGGGCGCCGCAGGCGCCTCAAGCGGTGCGGAGCGCCGCCACAGGCGGCGGACAGCAGGTGCGCGAAATTAAACGCCATTTTCGGTTCCGCGGTTTTGGCACTGTCTACCAACTTTGTGGTACAAATCGACTTGCACTTGGTCTGAGCCCTGCGCTGCGTTTGAGCCTCCATTCTGAAAGTGTACGTAGAAGGGAAGGCAGCAGGTCCGGCTTGCGAACTCCGCTGTGCGCCGACAAGCGGTATGGCGCCGAGTAGAGGCCATTTTCCTATTAGAAAAGGCTGTCGAGAGCGCAAAATTTTCTTCGCTGCGCGCCCAACCATGGTGGGCACGCAGCGGGCGCCTGCGGCGCCAAATTTTTGAAATGTCTGCCAGTCGCCCAACCTGATCTCAGAATCACTCGCCGGGGCGCCCAAACAGTCCCTCACGAACGCCACACGGGCCACCACGGCCCGTCCGGCGGCCCGAGTGCCGCCCCACACCCGCCCGACGCCCTCGGCCAGCCAGCGCCCACTCTGAGAGGCTTCACCGCCGCCAGCGCGCCGAGCGCGCCGCCCTCTCCTCGCGCCACACGGGCCCCTGGCCGCACGCCCGAGAGGCGGCCCATAATTTGAGTCGAGACGCGCCGCCGGCCAGCCAGCAGCTCGCCCGCCACCCGCAGAGTGCCGCCGCCGCCCCCAGCCCGCACTGGAGAGGCTCTCCCGGCCGCTAGCCGCTGTCGCGTCGCCCGGCGGCTGCGCTGGCAGCGTGGCG